CGTGGACTCCGAGGATGGGATCATGTCCGCGGCCGGTTCCTCGTCGGACATGACAGCGGACGGGGAAGATGAAGAAGGAGATGAGGAGGACGAGGCAGTCGACAGCGCTGGCACCGCTGATTTCCCCGACAGCCAGGAGCTCTTCATCACCCTTACCGAGATCCCGTACCAACCGTCCCCATCCCTTACCCCGGACACAGAATCAGGGGAAGGATCAAGCAGTAAGTGCTGTAAACATGTAAACATTTATTTAAAACAGAACGGTAATATTTATACTATTAACAATGTACATTTATAAAAGTTCTGTAAACTAGTAAAAAAATAATCAGGTACAAAACAGGAATATTTACAAAGGTAACAAATGGGTTTTCATGATTTCTCTGTCTTAGGCTCTTCTCAATTTAGTCCCAAGTGTTTTAAAAAATTTTCACAATGTCCGTTACTCCATGATTCCCAGGCCCAAGACGCTCCACTCCATAGTCCCAGTGCACCTACGCGAAAATCCGGTCAATGTGGCCGGGGATCGACGAGAAATCCTCGTAGGAGAACTCCTCGTAGGTCTCGTGGAGGTAGAGCTCAAGCCTGTTGATCAGGTTCCGGGGTAGGGCGATCTTAGTGGGCCCTCCGTGGTAGCAGACATGCCCCCTCCACGCCACAATCAAGTACTCCGGGATCATGGCCCGACATAGCATGGCGGCATACGGCCCCGGTTTCTGCATGCTTTCCCGCAGCATGCGTTCTCTCTGGGTGTCCGGGATCCTCAGAAGGGTGATGTCGCTCATGACGCCCTGCTTTGAATTAGGGAGGGGAATGTTAGTATTGGGACTGCTTTACAGCCACGCGGTGGAGGGAGAGGGGCAGCATACAGGGATCTTTCCCTGGGACAGCCGCGAGGGGGTGGGACAGGGGCAGAGTTGATGCTGTCCTGATTGCTGGCAGCAGAGACTGGCATTGCTTTCAATGTGAAAGGAGGCCAGTGCTACTGCTGGAGTTTTAAGCAGCCACAAGTCTGCGGCTTACCATTATTGCCCGCTCCAGAAGTTCAGGTCTCCAGCCACGCTTCTCAGATCACTCCAAGACCTCCGCAAGTCCACAGGCACTGAAGGCGACGGCCGAAAATTCGACCTTGTCCTGAGTGCGCATGTGAGAGGTGCAGTGCATGGTCTTGTTCACAGAGAAAGACTAGGTTCTTTGTATACAATTTCATTTATCTGTCTCAGGAATTCACTCCCTTTTTAAAATTCACACAGACACATCTGCGACTGTCTCCCAACCCAGCCTGTCAGCACACTCCCAGAGGCTAGCGCAGATTAGGCAGAGGAAGAAGAAGACGCGTGAAGACATGTTCTCAGAACTAATGGGATGCTCCCGAGCCCAGGCAGCCCAGCAGACACAGTGGAGGGAGAACTTGTCACAAATGCACCGAGCAGTCATGGAACGGGAGGAGAGGTGGCGTCAGGAGGACCAACAGGCTACTGAAAAGCTGCTTGGACTAATGAGGGAGCAAACGGACACGCTCCGGCGCCTTGTGGATGTTCTGCAAGACCGGAGGCAGGAGGACAGAGCCCCGCTGCAGTCTATCTGTAACCGCCCTCACCCGCCACCAAGTCCCACACCACCCTCACCCAAACTCCAAAGAAGGAGGGGCGGCAAGGGCCGTTAAAACTTTCAGTCAACCCCTGCAGACTGCTCTAGCACTAGAAGGCTGACATTCCCCAAAATTTCATAAGTCCTTTCCTACCCACCTCACACAAGCCCCCGTCCAAGTTTCACCCCCCACGTTTCATGTCTGGTTCGCAATAAAATGTTTGTTTCTCTCCATTACTGTTTCAGTCAGGTTCTTTTGAGGGAGAGTCTGTCTGGAGGGGGGGAAGGGGCTTGGTAATTGGGCAGGACAGTGACCTTTAGCAGGGTACAGAGGCGGTGTCAGGTCCAGCATCAGGACACATACACAGTGCAGTCACTGGTTACCCTGGTCAGTCTGGGAGGTGTTTTTCATGTTCTCCATTGAAATAACCAGTCCACCAGTGCGGAGCCTGGCATTCCGGGAGTTTAGAAGCATCATTTGCATCAGAACACTGAACCCGCCCCCCGCCACAGTCTGCGTCCCCGGTTTAAAATATTCCCGCGAAAACAGCAACACAGACAACGGTGTTCATTAACAAAATCGAAATGATTTTATTTTTTGGGAAGGGGAAGGGGGTGAAGGGGGTATGTAACTGGAGAGGATAGTCAAAATGAACTGGGTAAAGAAACGGGGGCAGGTTCAGCTTTTCTGTCCACAAACTGAAAAGTCACTGGTTGCCCTGCTCACTCAGGAACCTAGCTTTCAAAGCCTCCCGGATGCACAGGGCGTGCCGCTGGGATCTTCTAATGGCCCGGCTGTCTGGCTGGACGTAATCAGCAGCCAGGCTATTTGCCTCAACCTCCCACCCCGCCATAAAGGTCTCCCCCTTGCTCTCACACAGATTGTGGAGCACACAGCAAGCTGCAATAACGATGGGGATATTGGTTTCACTGAGATCACAGCGAGTCAGTAAGCTTCTCCATCTCCCTTTGAGACGGCCAAAAGCACACTCCACTACCATTCTGCACTTGCTCAGCCGGTAGTTGAACAGTTCTTTTTCTGTGTCCAGGGCGCCAGTATAGGGCTTCATGAGCCAGGGCATTAGCGGGTAGGCTGGGTCCCCGAGGATGACTGTAGGCATCTCCACATCCCCAAGAGTTATTTTGTGGTCTGGGAAGTAAATACCTTCCTGCAGCCGTCTAAACAGACCAGAGTTCCTGAACACGCGAGCGTCATGAACCTTGCCCGGCCATCCGACGTAGATGTTTGTAAACCGTCCCCGATGGTCCACCAGTGCTTGCAGCACCATTGAAAAGTAGCCCTTTCTATTGATGTACTGGCTGGCCTGGTGGTCCGGTCCCAGGATAGGGATGTGAGTCCCATCGATAGCCCCACCGCAGTTTGGGAATCCCATCGCGGCAAAGCCATCTATGATGACCTGCGCGTTTCCCAGGGTCACTACCTTTGGGAGCAGTACCTTCACGATTGCCTTGGCTACTTGCATGACAACAACCCCCACGGTAGATTTGCCCACACCAAAGTGGTTCGCGACTGACCGGTAGCTGTCCGGCGTTGCAAGCTTCCAGAGGGCTATGGCCACTCGCTTCTGGACAGTGAGGGCTGCTCGCATGCGGGTGTCCTTGCGCTTCAGGGCAGGGGACAGCAACTCACAAAGTTCGAGGAAAGTCCCCTTCCGCATGCGAAAGTTTCGCAGCCACTGGGATTCATCCCAGACCTGAAGCACTATACGGTCCCACCAGTCCGTGCTTGTTTCCCGGGCCCAGAATCGCCGTTCAACAAAATCCACATGCCCCATTGCCACCGTGATGTCCTGGGCGCTGGGGCTCGTGGTTTCTGACAGCTCTGTGCCACTCTCCGACTTCAGGCTCTCACGGCGGTGCCGTAGCCTCCTCGCCCGATTTCTCTGCATCTGCCTCAGGGAAAGGTGTATGATAAGCTGCGAGGTGTTGAGAACGGCCACAAGTGCAGCGATGGTCGCAGCGTGATCCATGATCGCAGTGCTGTGGCGTCCGCGCTGTCACTGACCAGAAAAGTGCGCGAACTGATTTCCCGCCGGCGCTTTCATGGAGGGAGGGAGGGCGTTAGTGACAGACGGATGACGACAAATTTTTTTTACCCAGAAGGCATTGGCGGCTCGACCCAGAATTCCGATGGGCAGCGGGGACTGCGGGAACTGTGGGATAGCTGCCCACAGTGCACCGCTTCCAATATCGACGCTCGCCCCGTTAGTGTGGACTCACAAAGTCGAATTACTGTCCTTAGTGTGTCCTTAGTGTGGACACACACGTTCGACTTTGCAATATCGATTCCACATATTCGATTTAAGTAAAATCGAATTACCCTCGTAGTGTAGACATACCCTTAGTACAGTGATGTAAGGGGTTCTGTTGCTGTAGAAAATCCATATGTGGGGATGGTTGTATGCGAACCTTTAGGCCAGAAGGCCGGAATTACTGACTGTTTGCTTGGCCATCACCTTAGGAGGCCTGAACCCTAGGCCTCATCCAGAAGGCCTGATCCATAGACTATAATCATTTACCCCAGCCAGGCGGCTGGGGCCATAGACCGTGTAATTGCTCAATCTGATTTCAACTAAAAATTGTGTTTTAAATTTTAAAAATATTTAATTTTTTGTAAATAATATTTTTTATCTATCTTGCAATTTATCTCCACTATGAAAAACAACCATTAATTGTTATTTTTCTACTGTTTAGCCATTTCTTATTCCAGAAGAGAATTTTGTATGTAAGCCAATATTTCCTATTTTCTTATTAGTCTTTTGAGAAGGAACTTGCCAGAAATTATTTAGATCTTCAAGGAATTATTATCTAGCAGATTCTCTTTGCCAATTATTTTTATTATATGTTTTAAATAACTAACCGGTTACAGAGACACAAGTTACTTTGACAGAAAGTGTGCTAGTTTGACTCAATCCGTTTACATTTATTTAAATGTTGTTTTATTATGCCTTTGCATATATTATCAAATGGAGTTCTAGACTGTTATTTTACGCTCCGTTATTGTAGACTAGCATGTCCACTTAACAATTCCCAGTACATATAATCAAAACCCAAATGTTTTAATTATCGCATGTATCAATTGTTACTTTCACACAAAACAAGTAAGCGAAACAGAATTTATAAGAGGGTATAAGCAAAATCTATCATAAAAATAAATAGTCAATGCTAAACCTAAGGCCATTTAAGCTTCAGAAACCTTAAAAAGTAATTTTTGCTTGATTATAGCCTCATTACATAACAATCAGTGGTTTGAACTTCCATTTATTTCAACAGCTACACAGTCTACAATAGATGCCTGGATCCTTATTTTTCTAAAATATAGGGAATTTCTAGGACAACCTTTCAGTGTAATTCATTTTGAAAAGACTACTGATTAGTGAAATAATATTTACCATTTTCATCCTGACCACTAGCTTCTGGTGTGCCTTGTCTCTGGTCCTCCTCAGGTGCTTCAGGGTAAATAACAGCTGTATCTTCCTGTTGAAGGAATTCTTCAACATTGGGGTCATGATTTTGTTCATTTTCTACTTCAGAATCACCTTCATCTTCTTTTACTAAAATAAAAAAAAAAGCTTTGTTAATGGAATTTCAACGTCATAGGAAAACATTTTAAAATAATACATAAATGACAATAATATTTCGCACTTCTATAGCATCTTCCATTCAAGGATCTCAATGCACTTCACAAATCTTAATTAAGTCTTAGGTTAAGCCTGTGAGAGAAAAGAGTTTTAGCCCAATTTTACAAATAGAGAAACTATGACATAGTGAAGTTAAAGGGATACCAACTTAAACAAAATCGAAGTTGTTTGTATAATGTTTCACTGTTTTCCTTGCAGGCTCAGTTATTTAGTCAGTCACTGTCCCCTGTCTGTGTTTGTCTTTCACATAGCAATTGGGGGAAGAAATAGGAAAATGTGGTTGTAAAACCACGAAAATTGGCAAGCAGAGGTAGAGGAACATGTGTTAAACTATTTTTAGATATTGACTAGATTTCAAGTTGGCAGTGTCTCTAAGAGATTTTGCTCAATATCAAACAAAGTATGTATCAAAATGAGGCATTGCATGTGGATTTCCTGGGGTAAGCTGAAAACAGTAGTTGAATAGATAAGACGTAATTAATTTCTAAATAGGCACATTCAAAGGAACCACCTATTTGGAACAACAATCAATTCCACCGCACTAGTTGGACCTAGGGTTTGCCTTATAAAGTATACAAACTGAAAAGAAATCACCTACAGGTCGCAATTATCAAGGCCTCCCTTCAAACCACTAAATGGTGGCATTATGTTTTTATTTCCCTTTGTGGATTCCCTTCCTGAATGGTTCCTCCATCTTCAGATTCATAGAAGATAATACAAAAATAAAAAATTAGGACAATTTTTTTTTAAAAGTCCTAACTTTGTCCATGTTAGGCTCCTTTGTTCCACTTAACTTTTCCAAAAATCTTAGGATAAAATGATGGATTCTTGGTCATGATTGAGTGATCCTATTCTGAATGGCACTTGCCATTCCTGCAGCTTCTTTGGGTCCTGCAATTGCAAGGCTGAATTTGTTGCCTTCAAGACACGATTTAAAGTTTGTTCATTACTGCAAATGCGTAGGACATATTCATGCAGATTTTCACTGAAAAGCATGCTTGCTGGCTGAAATGCAGTAAGCTTGAGAGTTTGAGTAACTGGTTCACAGAGTTTGGCCACAGGTTTCAAACAGTTTGCTCTGGATCTAGTTAGTACTGTTCCAAATCATCTAGGTTTAAACTTGGCACAATCAATGATCAACTTCATTTGTTTTTCATTAAAACTGTATTTCACTATTAGCAAAAATACAGTTAAATATTTTACATAAACTATAGCATGACAAATATTTGCTAGTAAATACTTGCTGGAATACATTATTCATGCAGTTTACACTTACTGCCATGAAATGCATTTTATGAAAGCTTTGACTGTAAATTACTATCCTATACTTCATTCTCAGTTATTAATGTGAAGCATATTTTTAATAAGAAGGTAAAGCTTTACCATTTGTCTCACAGTGTGAAGTCTCATACTGGTCTTCCTGTTTTAAAATCCAAGTGCTAGATTCTATTTATGACATGGGACAGTTTTCGCCATACACACTGTAAAGTAGTTCTTTGTTCTCTTTGGTATTGACCTTATGGTTAAAATATGTATACCAAGATTAAAAAAAATGCAAACACATTTCCGAATAATCCTACATTTTTGTATGGTGCAGGGGTGGCCAAACTTACTGATCCTTTGAGCCGCATATGACAATCTTCAGGAGTTCGAGAGCTGGGAGGCACCTGCCGGGGCTCGGGGTTTCAGCTCCAGTGGAGATGCCTGCTGGGGCTTGGGGCTTCAGCCCTGCTCCTGCTGGAGCCCCGAGCTCCAGCAGGTACACCCTGCAGGGCTGAAGCCACGAGACCCCCTGACCTGCTGTGCAGAAGCCCCTACCCCACCACCCTGCTGCAAGGCAGAGGTCCTAAGCTCCACCCCCCAAGTCTGGTAGGTGGAGAATTGGCAGGGGGGATGGGTGGGGAGCTCCACGAGCCGCACTTTAACTGTAAAAGAGCTGCATGTGGCTCGCAAGCCACCGTTTGGCCACTCCTGGTATAATGCTTATCACTCTAGTATCTATGTACTGACCAATTAGCATATATCTTAATTTATCTGACCATTTAAAAATAGTATATAGATTCCCCTTAAAGTATACAGTAATTATTTTCAACATTACTGAAGAAAAATATAGTAAGCAAAAAGGAGCTGTACATTTTCTAGCATAGTATTGAAGATGAAGACACACATTCTATTTTATCTACTCTGTAATATTACTATTAACAGAAGAGTTAATACTGAGATATTAACTCTAGTTCATTTTAATGGCTATGGGTTTAGGCTCTGTCTTGTGGTCCATAGCAGCACTCTATACTACCATGTGAAACACCGGTGACAGAGTCCTCATCCTTTCCTTTCTCCTAAAGTCAGGCTAAGCTGCTGCAGAGGCACTGCAATTAGTCCCTTGGGGAAAGGGACTGCTTTGTGTCATTTGTCAGCAAAACCTCAAGACTGAAGAGATCTAAACTGGGAGCCCAGTCTAGTCTTCTTCACCAAGAACAGTGTTTGCAACTTACCGCATCAAGTACAGGAGAGAAAGACAATTTAAAAAGAAAGGTGAGGGGGAATCTTAAAAGATTTCCAGGGATACTACATTATTCCAATCCCAAGAACATTCTATGGATAAGGGGCACAGATTGCGGAATTTAATTAGACAAATACCTGTACATCCAGCTTCATCGGCTTGAGCTTCAGGCCCCAGGATTTCTTTTGTTTCTTTTCCATCTGAAATAATATTACAAAAGAGGAATAATTAACATTAAAAATACCATCATCTTTCTTTGCATATTACAAACGTTCCCTTATTTCTTAAACAAAAATTTCCATATTTTTCTAATGTTTGGGGAAAATATATTTAAATCTCATATACTTAAAAAAATATGGATTCCTCATGATTTTAGATGTGTTGAGTTTCTCAGGTCGTAAAGATTTTACGAGAAAAAGAAACTGCAATTTTAACAGAAGGCAAACATACAAGTAATTATTTGAAGACAGGGAAAAAATAGGATAAGGATTGCTGTTACATATCCAAATATGGTATTTTTGTAGTACAAGTATCTTTCTGGCAAGTACAAAGTGTGCTGCTTAGAATGAAAGGGAAGTAGTTTGTTCTTAGTATCTGATTCACTAGATTATTGCTTTCAGAGGTTAATTTATTGTAAGATTAACACATTTGCTCTGTTTTTTCTAACTAGCAAAATCAGCAGATCATCAGTAATTACTCCAAAATTATTTGCAACAATCTATCATGTAATACTGTATAATTACCTGCAGACATCTAGAGCTTATTAAACTTAGCCAAATAAAAATCATTATGAGAGTTCTTGCTAGGTTTGACTATTGAATTGAGAAAACAAGAAAATATTGGTACTGAATTAAAGCATATATTTCAGTTGTGTAAAACTGATTTTAAGAGTTTTACCAACTTCTTTCCTGTGTATTGGAATTACCACACCACCACTTATCAGGGCCCAGGGTTTTGGCCGCCCCAAGCAGCCAAACAAAAAACAAACAAAAAAGCCGCGATCGCGATTGCGATCTGCGGCAGCAATTCGGTGGGAGGTCCTTCGCTCCAAGCAGGAGTGAGGGACTGTCCCCCGAATTGCTGCCGAACAGCTGGACGTGCTGCCCCTCTCCGAAGTGGCCGCCCCAAGCACCTGCTTGGTAAGCTGGTGCCTGGAGCTGGCCCTGCCACTTATACAAAAGTACTATTACTGACTCCACTGCACATCTCTGGGCAGTTGGATAGATGCCCTTAAAAGATGATTTATTGAAGGATTCATGTATCTCTGCAAAATAGGACTGACTTCAAAATCATGATCTGACATCATTTCCTTATGTGCTAATTTTAAATCAGTTTTAAGACTGAGTCTAAGGAAGGCACTAGATCTGGTGAAATTGTTCTATGGGTCATGGTGTTCTCCACCCCATTTCAGAATGGTGACCCTCTATACTGGAAGGTCACTTTCACTACCAGCCCATATTTTCATCAAATATATATTGATGGTGGCCATCATTTATTGTTTCTGTCTACTGTTTTCTCTCTAGAACAGTGGCTCCAGATGGGGGGGTTTTAAGTGAAGCTTTTGCTGCTGAAGGAGCTAGAATAGCAGTCCTATACAAGAGTCCAAAATTCTTTCATTAAATTACAAATCTAGTATAGCACAGACACTGACAGCTGAGGCTTCTGCACACACCTCCACCAACATGCCTCAACTCTTTGACTATTAACAAGAGAGGCAATTAGTCCCGAAGGTTATGGTACTTTTAAAATTTGGAGACATGTCCTGTATGAACTTGTCTAAGGTTACCAACTCACTTTATACAGGCTACTAAACATCTTTCAATCAGTAACAACTTTCAGACCGTATTGATTTGAGCCAGTAGCTGGTAGTGAACATGAAAACCCTTATAGTTTACTATCTGTCCCTTGAGCCATCCAGTTGTCCAGTTCCCTTGTGTTCTGTGATAGACAGTGGCACTTCAGGAATGAGCAGTGTAGTATGTGGAATGTTGATAAAAGCGTGGTAATTTGTACTTGCAATTGTAATCAATACATGCTCAACTATGGAATTCTTATTTAGTACAAGTTCTGGTATGAAGTCCAGAGACTGGATCTGAAGTCAGTATCTATCTAAGCCCATCACAATCTACAGAATTTTCCAACCCAAAGGTCACATCAAACTTGAAATAATACCAAAAAGAGAAAAGAGCCAACTAGTTGCTCAAATATTTTTCAGCTGAAGTTTTATTCAAGATTAATGCTAAATATGCTTTTCTAGTTCAGGAATGTTCCGCTGATTGTAGGTGCTGTATAAAAGCTTTAAAAATCTTTGGTTCTCTAAAAACAGAAGAGTGGAATCTACATCTTTATTCCAAAAAGTACCTTTTGCACAATGCATAGTTATCCTGTGGAACTCACTGCCACATATAGCAAGTCCAAGAACTTAGAGGTATTAAAAAAAGGCAGCAGATAATTTACAGTATATGAATAATGAGAAAATCCACAGTTACATTAATTAGGACAAAAAATACAAGTGCTTCAGAGAATACACCAGCTGGTGGGGGTTAAATAGATTATTCTATAATTGTCCATTATGGGGATTCTAGCATGTTCCCCTACGTTCCTCTGGCACAATGGGACTCTCAACAATAAGAGTAAAGCTCACCCATGCAAGGAAACAGAATTTTCTCTGGGGTACTCTGAGATTGTAGAATGAACTCCCCCAGGAACTGAGGACCATCACAGACCTCATTGCTTTTTGCTCCAAGGGCAAGGCACATTTCTTTGACTTTGCTGTCTCTAAATATACACATTGCAATGTTTATTAATAAATTAAAAAAAAAACACTACCAAAACAAGACACTCCACTGCACATGCTTCTCCCTCTGGGGAAAAAATGAGAGAACAAACGAGACATGACAGATGCACTACTGGAAAGCACTCAGATACTACAATGATAAGCATGGCATAAAACCTGAATAGAATAGAATAGAAAAACATCTGGTCTTGTCCCCCTTTCAGATACAGGATACTAGACTAGATGAACTACTGATCTGATCTGGAATGACAATTCCTATGTTCTTATGCTCCCACAGAAGTGAGCTAAAAGTGTTGTAATCACACAACAAATGCTAGAATCCATAATTTGTAGTGGTTATTAAAAATAGCAAGGGCATGCTACCTTTTTAAATCAATACAGAAGCCAATTTCTGCTTTACACAAACTGAGGACTTCTAGGACTACTTTAAGTTCCATTTTAAATAGGTCTTTCCAAAAGGAAAAGGATGAATAATCAAACTACCCTAATAGTGGAGACAGTAGTAATGAAGACTGACAGAAGTCTACCGAACTAATAGGTTAGAAAGTATGCCTGCACTTGCAGATATTTTCACAAACAAGATATATAATTAAAGGAACACTGGAGTGCTTTAATCTAGCTCTAATTTTGACCGTCACTTGAAAAGTCTTAGTCATAGACAAATCCATGTTTTGTTGGTCTGATCCAATCCATCAATGGTAACTGTCATGTGCTTCAAGTCCAAAAGCTTTACATGCTGTAAATCCACTAAAACCAAATACTTAGTTTATTTAAAATAGTCCATACTACACAAAACCATGTTTTCCCCTATAAAAAGGGCTCTTCATTAGGACAATGGGATCTGCTGGAGAGGTGGGGTTATTAATGTAGTTTACTTACTATTTATAACAATTTACAGCAAGCCACTCTGGCTTCATAACAGGCAAAAATAGTATTAGCCAAGCTGATCCTGAGTAATTTAAGATTTCAGTGGCAACAGGATTTAATTTCACAGAAGGTAAAAAAAATTCCCCAAATCTACTAGTTTATAAACTCTTCATGGTATGGACTATGCCTTCCTGTGTGCTTGTACAGCACCTAGGGTCCTGATTCTGACTAGGCCTTTGGGCACTATCATAATCAATAAACAAACAGCAGTAATTTCATAGCCACCTATTGAGCTTTCATCTTTCTTTTTTCTTCATGTAGGAAGGTATTCTGTGTCCTGAAGTTACACAAATTTAACTCAGTCTTTGCAAATTCCCCACAGTGTTAACCTTTACATAGCAGATGTTAATAACCAGAATATGTATTCTATATTTTTTGTTATATTATTTGCAGAAGTGTGTTGCAAGGCTAACAAATATACAATCACTTTAATGACTATAGTCATATATGTTCAGCAAAGGATGGGAACATCGGTGAACAGTTTACCTTGCATTCAGGAGTCAAGGACTATGCTGCAAACATAGCCACTGGGGAGCAGAAAGGAGAAAAAGATATCCAGTGCTACGGAGAAGAATGCAGGACAGTCTCTGATCAAATAGAAAATAGAATATCAGGGTTGGAAGGGACCTCAGGAGGTCATCTAGTCCAGTCCCCTGCTCAAAGCAAGACCAACACCAACTAAATCATCCCAGCCAAGGCTTTGTCAAGCCGGGCCTTAAAAACCTCTAAGGATGGAGATTCTACCACCTCCCTAGGTAACCCATTCCAGTGCTTCAACACCCTCCTAGTGAAATAGTGTTTCCTAATATCCAACCTAGACCACCCTACTGCAACTTGAGACCATTGCTCCTTGTTCTGTCATCTGCCACCACTGAGAACAGCCGAGCTCCATCCTTTTTGGAACCCCCCTTCAGGTAGTTGAAGGCTGCTATCAAATCCCCCCCCTCCAGGGCCAGCTCCAGGCACCAGCTGAGCAAGCAGGTGCTTGGGGCGGCCAAGGGGAAGGGGTGGCACGTCGAGCTCTTCGGCGGCAATTTGGAGGAGGGTCCCTGTCCCTCTCGGAGGGAAGGACCTGCCGCCGAAGAAGAAAGCGGTGCGGTGGAGCTGCCGCCGATCGCGATCATAGCTTCCCCCCCGCACCGCTTGGGGCGGCAAAAACCCTGGAGCTGGCCCTGTCCTTCTCACTCTTCTCTTCTGCAGACTAAATAACCCCAGTTCCCTCAGCCTCTTCTCGTAAGTCATGTGCCCCAGCCCCCTAATCATTTTCGTTGCCCTCCGCTGGACTCTCTCCAATTTGTCCACATCCCTTCTGTAGTGGGGGGACCAAAACTGGACGCAGTACTCCAAGGTGTGGCCTCACCAGTGTCGAATAGAGGGGAATAATCACTTCCCTCAATCTGCTGGCAATGCTCCTATTAATACAGCCCGATATGCCGTTGGCCTTCTTGGCAATGAGGGCACACTGCTGACTCATAT